GTCCCCCCCTTTTTTCATCCCCCCTCCGTCCCCCACCTTTGTCGTCCCCCCTCTGTCCCCCCACCATTGTCGTACCCCCTCCGCCCCCCCCCCTTTGCCATCCCCCCTCCGTCCTCCCCTTTGTCGTCCCCCTCCGTCCCTCCCCTTTGTCGTCCCCCTCCGTCCCCCCCTTTGTCGTCCCCCCTCCGTCCCTACCCCTTTGTCGTCACCCTCCGTCCCCCCACCTTTGTCGTCCCCCCTCCGTCCCTCCCCTTTGTCGTCCCCCCTCTTTTCATCCCCCTCCGTCCCCCCACGTTTGTCGTCCCCCCTCCGTCCCCCCCCTTTGTCGTCCCCCCTCCGCCCCTCCCCCTTTGTCGTCCCCCATTTTTTCTTCCCCTCCGTCCCCCCACCTTTGTCGTCCCCCTCCGTCCCCCACTTTGTCGTCCCCCTCCGTCCTCCCCCTTTGTCCTTCCCCCTCCGTCCCTCCCCCTTTGTCGTCCCCCCTCCGTAGCTCCCCCTTTGTCGTCCCCCTCCGTCTTTGTCGTCCCCCCTCCGCCCCTCCCCCTTTGTCGTCCCCCTTTTTTCATCCCCCCTCCGCCCCCCCCCCTTTGCCATCCCCCCTCCGTCCCTCCCCTTTGTCGTCCCCCTCCGTCCCTCCCCCTTTGTCCTCCCCCCTCCGTCCTCCCCTTTGTCGTCCCCCTCCGTCCCCCCCTTTGTCGTCCCCCCTCCGTCCCTACACCTTTGTCGTCCCCCCTCCGTTTCTACACCTTTGTCGTCCCCCTCCGTCCCTCCCCCTTTGTCCTCCCCCTTTTTTCGTCCCCCCTCCGTCCCCCACCTTTGTCGTCCCCCCTCCGCCCCCCCCCCCCCCTTTGTCGTCCCCCCTCCGTCCCTCCTCCTTTGTCGTCCCCCCTCCGTCCCCCCCCTTTCTCGTCCCCCTCCGTCCCCCCCCCTTTGTCGCCCCCCTCCGTCCCTCCCCCTTTGTCGTCCCCCCTCCGTCCCCCACCTTTGTCGCCCCCCCTCCGTCCCCCCCACCGTTGTTGTCCCCCCTCTGTCCCCCCACCTTTGTCGTCCCCCCTCCGTCCCCCCACCTTTGTCGTCCCCCCTCCGTCCCCCCACCTTTGTCGTCCCCCCTCCGTCCCCCCACCGTTGTCGTCCCCCCTCCGTCCCCCCACCTTTGTCGTCCCCCCTCCGTCCCCCCACCGTTGTTGTCCCCCCTCCGTCCCCCCACCGTTGTGGTCCCCCTCCCTCCCCCCACCTTTGTCGTCCCCCCTCCGTCCCTCCCCTTTGTCGTCCCCCTCCGTCCCTCCCCCTTTGTCGTCCCCCCTCCGTCCTACCCCTTTGTCGTCCCCCTTCCGTCCCTCCCCCTTTGTCGTCCCCCCTCCGTCCCTCCCCCTTTGTCGTCCCCCTCCGTCCCTCCCCCTTTGTCGTCCCCCTCCGTCCCTCCCCCTTTGTCGTCCCCCCTCCGTCCCTACCCCTTTGTCGTCCCCCCTCCGCCCCTCCACCCCTTGTCGTCCCCCCTCCGTCCCTCCCCCTTTTGTCGTCCCCCCTCCGTCCCACCCCTTTGTCGTCCCCCCTCCGTCCCCCCCTTTTGTCGTCCCCCCTCCGTCCCCCACCCTTTGTCGTCCCCCTCCGTCCCCCCCCCTTTGTCGTCCCCCCTTCGTCCCTCCCCCTTCGTCGTCCCCCCTCCGTCCCTACCCCTTTGTCGTTCCCCCTCCGCCCCCCCCCTTTGTCGTCCCTCCTCCGCCCCTCCACCCCTTGTCGTCCCCCCTCTGTCCCTCCCCCCTTTGTCGCCCCCCCTCCGTCCCTCCCCCTTTGTTGTCGCCCCTCCGTCCCCCCACCTTTGTCGTCCCCCCTCCGTCCCCCCCACCGTTGTTGTCCCCCCTCCGTCCCCCCACCTTTGTCGTCCCCCCTCCGTCCCTCCCCCTTTGTCGTCCCCACTCCGTCCCTACACCTTTGCCGTCCCCCCTCCGTCCCTCCCCCTTTGTCGTCCCCCCTCCGTCCCACCCCCTTTGGCGTCCCCCCTCCGTCCCTCCCCCTTTTGTGTTCCCCCCTCCGACCCTCCCCCTCTGTCATCCCCCCTCCGTCTGTCCCCCTTTGTAGTCCCCCCTCCGCCTCCCCCCCCTTTGTCGTCCCCCCTCTGCCCCCCCCCCTTGTCGTCCCCCCTCCGTCCCCCCCCCTTTGTCGTCCCCCCTCCGTCCACCCCCTTTTGTCGTCCCCCCTCCGTCCCTCCCCCTTTGTCGTCCCCCCTTTTTTCGTCCCCCCTCCGTCCCTCCACCTTTGTCGTCCCCCCTCTGTCCCCCCACCTTTGTCGTCCCCCCTCCCTCCCCTTTTGTCGTCCCCTCCCCCTTTGTCGTCCCCCCTCCGTCCCTACCCCTTTGTCGTTCTCCCTCCGCCCCCCCCCTTTTGTCGTCCCCCCTCCGCCCCTCCACCCTTTGTCGTCCCCCCTCCGTTGCTCCCCCCTTTGTCGTCCCCCCTCCGTCCCTCCTCCTTTTGTCGTCCCCCCTCCGTCCCTCCCCCTTGGTCGTCCCCCCTCTATCCCTCCCCCTTTGTCGTCCCCCCTCCGTCCCTACCCCTTTGTCGTTCCCCCTCCGGCCCCCCCCTTTTGTCGTCCCCCCTCCGCCCCTCCACCCTTCGTCGTCCCCCCTCCGTCCCTCCCCCCTTTGTCATCCCCCCTCCGTCCCTCCCCCTTTGTCGTCCCCCCTCCGTCCCTCCCCCTTTGTCGTCCCCCCTCCGTCCCTCCCCCTTTGTCGTCCCCCCTCCGTCCCTCCCCCTTTGTCGTCCCCCCTCCGTCCCTCCCCCTTTGTCGTCCCCCTTCCGTCCCTCCCCCTATGTCGTCCCCCCTCCGTCCCTCCCCCTTTGTCGTCTCCCCTCCGTTCCCCCCCCTTTGTCGTCCCCCCTCCGTCCCTCCCCCATTTGTCGTCCCCCCTCCGTCCCTCCCCCTTTTGTCGTCCCCCCTCCGTCCCTCCCCCTTTTGTCGTCCCCCCTCCGTCCCTCCCCCTTTGTCGTCCCCCCTCCGTCCCTCCCCCTTTGTCGTCCCCCCTCCGTCCCTCCCCCTTTGTCTTCCCCCCTCCATCCCTCCCCCTTCGTCGTACCCCCTCCTCCTCCCTCTTTGTGACCCTCTCCCTCCCTCTGCCGCTCTTCCTTGCTCCTTACTCTCCTGTCTGCTTTTGCTTTCCCCCTACACTTGTTTCTACCTCGCGTTTGCTTCTCAGTTCAGTGGTTGTCTCTCTTGCACTTGCTGCTCCCTTCTCCCTGTCCGCCTTTCTTACTTTCGTCTTCGCTCACCGTTTTTCCCCTTGTGTCCGGTCCCTTTCTCCCCACCTAATTGCTTTAGTTTCTCTCTGGTTGCTATTGTCTCACTGCGTGTTCCTACGTGACACAATGTCACGCTACTTCGTGTCAACAATTGTATCGATGGGCAAATTTGATAGGCAAAATCCTAAATGACACGAAGTAGCGTGACATCGTGTCATGTAGGAATAGGCCCTCAAGCTTTTCCCTCATTTTCTCCCCTGTTATCCTCTCCAGTCATGTCATCACGTTCAAGTTTGTCACATTCCAAGAACATTCCAAGTCCTCGAAGTTCAAGTCATCACATTCCAAGTCTTCTCACTCCAAATCTGGTCAATCCTGTTGGCAGCATTGATTGATGCATATTTGAAGTTGACTTTTGGTCATATTTTCGTGCTACCCATTATTTCTTCGTATTTGACATGCGTGCATTTGCATTGTTGTTTTGTGTCCTGGTTTTTTATGTCGTGTTGCTTGTGTATGTGCGTATGCGTGGTACTATTGGTTGACAAAGTTCGTATAACTTTGTTGGCTTGGGTTGCATGGTGTTGCGTTGCGTTGTGCTTGCAGGGGAAGGATGTTGACTATGCCTACTGCATCACACAATTTGCGATTGTCGTTGCCGGTTTTGGGAATTGCTTCTCATTCTGTGCATGTCAATCTCTATTGTAGCACGAAAGCATTGCATTTCTTTCTTTGCAATCACTATTGCACTGTTATTTGTTTGGTAGCATGTGTTGTACATTGTTGTGTATTGTGCGTGCGTGCAGGAAAACGATGCTGACTATGCCTAGTGCATCATACAATTTGCGATTGTCGTCGCCGGTTTGGGATTTTCTTCCCATAACGCGCATGTCAATCTCTATTGTGGCACGAACGCCTCGATGCATTCGTTTTACTGCAATCACGATCGTTTTGTTGTTTTGTTTTGTTGTCGAGCCGAGCCGTTGTATGTGCATGTGTTGGTAAGCTGCGCTCTGTTTACATGCCTTTAATATGGTGGTCATGTTGTTGTGGTTCCTATCATTCTCCGCTGTAATTATCAACGGAGAATGATTCGAGCCTCTCTCATCATTCTTAGAAAGCTTAGAACATCGTTACAAAACTCTATGTTGCTCAATTATTATGTCGCCGTCGCCATTATCGACCACATAGTAATTGGGAAACATAGATTTTTTTTATGCGAGCTGGAAATGTCTTTTGATACGCTAAGTTTCTGACTTACAGTAAAAGGAACCAACAAACAAACGGATACGCAGGGATTCTCTACGGGAGGAGAATGTTAACATTCAAATTATCGATAGCCAATTTTAGATGGAAACCAGTGTCGTTAGAGTGCGCGACGCATTAGACCCGGAAAAATATGTAGTGCGGGTCATTAGGCCGACTAAACAAATTCGTCCGAAATTGGTCCACCGACCGATTGTACTGTATAAGGTTGCTACGCAACCGAAAAAGTTCCACACAGAGGCTGTTCGAACGCCCTCGGAATTCGAAATTGTTGGAATTTCGACCAACCTCAGCTGAGGAATGCTATCTTTTGAAAAGGGACGGAATGCGTTATCGTACGGTAGCTAAACGTTTGAGCATGGTCATATGCGGTTGGTATTATCTGGGCTTCTGCCTGAGGAGTCAGTGGATTCCTCGTGCCCTAGCCTTGGCTTAGGTTGCCCTGGGTTGACTTCGGGATGAAACTCTTGCTTGGCCATGTCTTCTGCATTCACCATTGCTCGGTAGAGTTTTTGAGTTCATCACCCGCCTTTTTTTCTATGTCGACCTAAAAAGAGGCGAAGTCTCTTACTCTCGCGGAATCCGGTCTTGTCTCACGCGCTACCTTCGCCTTCTTACGGTTTTCTAGCGCTCTTTTCAAAGCAGTACTATTTCATGGACCTAAATCTAGGCCCACCGCCTGAAGGCGTAAATGTCCGGAGACCCGAGCTGGGAGCAACAGCGGGCCGTGCTACTGCTAGGGACAGTACCGTGTTTCCTTCGCGAGTCGGAGATCTGCATAATTCACGAACCGCTGCATTTCTTGACCGGGTTTCGGACAACGGCGATGCGCGTCCGTCGTCGCATTTTGATCGTGGCGATGATTGGCACGATGACGAGGAAGAACGGCTCGCTGAATGCATGCCTCCCTCAGTGTACCGCCGAGATCACGCACGCTCAGGCCCAGGCAGGCCTCCGCCGTTCGATCAGCGGCCTTGTTTTACGGGGAGGGATCATGATGACGACACCGTCAGAAGCGCTCGACTGTCATCGGAAACTGACTCCGCGGGTTTAGACGACGATTCCGCGGGGCCGCACGACGGCCAGGCGCGCGCGCGCGAGATGACGGTTTCCGCGCGCACACGGGCGGACGATCCAAGCTGGAGCAGCGGGTACTCCAACCGGCCGATGCGAGTCGGAGTCTCAACGACGGGGTCGATGCGATCGCGGTCCGGGTGCGGGTGGTTCGACGTGCTGCCGGACAACCTGTGCGCGAAGATCGCGTCGTTCGTGGTGCACGCCAAGAGCCTCGTCGCCCTCCGAAGCACGTGCTCGTACCTCCGGGTGAGCTTTAATACTACTAGCAGTACGTGAGCTATCGTACCACCGGGTGAGCTATACTCGCATTTCTCCGGGCTTCCCCCATCCCCTGCTTTCTGCGCCCTTTCCCCCCCTTCCCACCTTCTCATTCCCTTTTCCGCCTCCTCTTTCTCCCCTGCGGCGCGTGGTGCGTGTGGGCGGGGAGCTGGTCTTCCTGGCGGAGGACTTCCATCATCCTCTGCTTTCTACGTCCATGATTCCCCCCTTTCCTGCATTCTCTTTCCCCCTATCCCCACCCTTCCCTGCAGCGCGTGGTGCATGTGGGCGGGGCGCTAGTCTTCCTGGCGGAGGACTTCCCCCACCGCGAGGCGGCGGAGAGGGGGATCACGCAGGCGCTGCTGCAGGCGTCCTCCGCCGTAACCTCGCTCTACGTCGAAGCGCCGCCCGCCTCCGACCCCTTCCAGGTGCGTTGTAAGGTCAGAGCAATTTCATGCCAATTTGAAGCATATCTCCTAGAAGGTCTCCACTGTGCCCTTCGGCTTGCGTACGATAAATGACAAACCTCAAAGCTCGCACACGGGATACTAATAGACAGCTCACCCCTCCCCCCCCTTCCTCCCGGCTCCCCCTCCCCCCCCCCCCCACCAGGAACTGGCAGTGATGGTGTGGTGCATGGCGTGTCGCGACACTCTAGAGGAGCTCACCCTGGTGGACGGCACAGCGGACGCACGGATAATAAGGCGCCGCCAGGCCCTCGCTGCGGCCATGGCGTCGGGATCCTCCCCTGCTGCCGCCCTTGCTGCACCTAGAAACGGTGCTATGTATGGCACAGGACCCGGCGCCTGCAGTAGCGTCACTACTGCTGGTACTGCTGCTGTGGCGGTTGCTGCTTCTGCTGCTGCTGCTGCTGCAGCTGCTGGAGCGGGGTCGAGTCAAAGAGGGAGCCATCATGCCTTGGGCAACAGCGGGAGCATTGGTGGAGTAAGCAGCGGCAGCAATGGCAATGGCAGTGGTAATGGCAATGGCAATGGCAATGGCAATGGCAGCGGTAATGGCAATGGCAATGGCAATGGCGCTGCTCTCATTGGTGCCGGAGGCAGTGCACGATTCATGCGGTTTTGCCCCAACGCCAGCTCCAACACCAACACCAACGAGGGCGAGGAGGAGGAGGCAGAGGAGGAGCCTCAGGAGTGGAAGCTGGAGCACGCGTCGCGTTGCCACAAGCTGCGCCAGCTGTACCTCGAAAACGCCGTCTTTGACTGTGTGTCATCGCTGCACTTTGCCTCACTCCGACACCTTACCCTGGCCAAGGTGGTGGTGGGCGGCGACATGCTGTGCGACCTGCTGGCCTGCTGCCCGCGCCTGGAGGAGCTCGTCCTGCTGCTGTGCTCGGGGATCAGCCCGCTGGATCTCATGCACGCACCGTGTGCCGCACTGAAACGATTCGACGTCCGCCTGAGCAACCGGGCTGCAAGGAAAGACGCCTGCCTGGAGCTGCTGCGGCTGAATGCGCCCAACCTGGAGGTATGGGTTGACTTGCTATGCCCTGCACCATAAATCCTGAACCCTGAACCCAGTACCCTGAACGCTGAAACTTACCCTGAACCCTGAATCTTGAAACCGGAACCGTACACCCTGAGCCCTTAGCCATCATCCCCGAACCCCCACCTGGAACCCTGACCTGAACCTTGAGCCTTAGATCTTGAACTCCAGGACCTCGAGTTGGGGGTGGACTGGGCGGCCGAGGGGCTCTTGGAGCAAGAGCATTGGCGCTCCTCCTTCTATCCCCTGCTTGTTGTGAGGCGCCTCAAACTCCTGTCCGTCCCTACTCTTCCCACTCCCATCCCACCCTCAGGACCTCGAGTTGGAGGTGGACTGGGCGCCCGAGGGCCGTCTGGAGCACGAGCTGTGGGGCAACATCCGCATCGAGTCGGGCGATCTCCGGCGCATGTCGCTGGAGCTGGCGGCCGGCTTCAAGTTTCACGCCAACCCCGACGCCTTCACCCGCCTCACTGTGCTCACGGTAGGAGCGGGGCTCAAAATGGCCCCATGGTCAAAGTGGCTTGCTGCTCTCACGCAGTATCTTGAGGCCGGGCCACTGTTTTCTGACGGACGTCATCAACACCCCGACCCCTCCCAACCCCCCTCCCCCCCTCCTACCCCGACCCTGCCGCACCCCACCGTCCCCTCCCCTCCCCTCCCCTCTGTGGCTGAGCTGTCCAGCAACGACTGGAGATGGGGCAGCATGCTAGCCCTTCTCCATCGGTGCGCTCTCTCCCTGGAGCAGCTCGCCCTCACGCGTCGCATCGACCAACTGGCACTCCGTGGCCGTCATCGACACGGCCGTTGCCTCCCTCTCCTCCTTCTAGCCCGTTCCCCAGCTGCTAGGCCACGACTAAAGCTGGGGCACCGTGCGAGCCATTCTCGGTCTTTTCTATCTCTCCTTAAAGGACCCTCACGTGCTGCCTCAACCCTAAACTCCGTGGCCTCCATTCCCTTTGCCCTCCTGCCCCTTCCCACCAGCTGACAGGCGACAACTGGAGCTGGGGCACGGTGCGGGCCATTCTGGACCTGTGTGCTCTCTCCCTGGAGGAGCTGTCCCTCACGTGCTACATCGACCAGCTCTCCATGCCGTCCATCGACTCGGCCGTCGCCTTCTTCTCCTCGCTGCCCTTGCTGCGCTTCCTGCTGCTCTGCCCGTCCGTCTACTACGTTATGATCGCCACCTTGGGCGACGCCAAGGTCATCAAGGTGGGTGTCTGACCATCCGTTGCCTTCCCTGTGCGGGTAACACTGTGCTGCGAAACTGTGCGCTGTGCGGCGTTGGGGTAATGAAGATCTGGGGCTGAGTGTCTGCCCGCCCGTCTATTACGTTATGCTAGCTGCCTTGGCCGACTCCGGGGTCATCAAAATGGGCACCCGGCTCCGTTTGTATATTGAGCAGTACTCACCTTGATGTGTATTCGAGGCCTTGGATTCAGTTTCCTCACCACGTTGCCATTGCCACCATCTTTTGAGGCATTGCCGTCATCTTGCTCTTGACTTTTACTCCAACCTACTCAAAAACAGATTTGGCTTCCTCTCACCACGCTGTCATCACCATCGTTTTGAGAGCGACCAAGGTTGAATGCTCAGCATGTATAGCTTGGTGCCAACCCTGCAAGAAAACCACATGGAGTAGCACGACCATTCCGTGGTTGTCCTTTCAATTACCTCAAACCTCCGGATTTACCCATCCTCTGCCTTCCCTTCTCTTCCCGGGTTGCCATTAATCTCTGGGTGCCTTCCTCTGTGCGCCTCCCAGGCAGCCAGCCTGGAAGGGACGTTTGCGTTGCAATCCCTCCCCCCTGACTGTTTCAAAGCCTCTATTGCAATCCTCTTGACTCAAAGTCACCTCAAGATTGTTTCAGTCCACCCCTCCCCCCAACCACTGGCAGGCGCGGCGCCCAGCCTGGAGGAGACGTTTGAGTTGCAGTCAGCTGCAGGCGTTGATTCAAAGCCAGCCGCCTCAGGATGCCTTCAGACCAATTCCCTCACCCCCCTCCCCCCAGCCCTCCCCCTCACACCACCATTCCCAGGCGCCCAGCCTGGAGGAGTTCGATGTGGAGTTCCTTCCCCGACCATGCCATGGCGGTCATTCCGCTCCCTACAGCATTGCTGCGACGGCCAAGCCTTCAGATGCACCAAGTCACGTGTCCCTCCTCCCCCCTACTCATTCCAGGCGCCCAGCCTGGAGGAGTTCCACGTGGAGTACCACGATCACGCCATGGCGGTCATTCTGCTCCCTACAGCAGTGCTGCGACGGCCAAGCGTTCAGATGCACCAAGTCACGTGTCCCTCCTCCCCCCTACTCATTCCAGGCGCCCAGCCTGGAGGAGTTCCCTGTGGAGTATCACTCACGACGCCATGGCGGTCATTCCCTTCCCTGCTGTCCCTTTCAATGCCTTCATATGCACTTCCTCTGCCTCGCCTCCCCTCCCTTGTCCCATCCTCCTCCCCCCCAGGCGCCCAGCCTGGAGGAGTTCCACGTGGAGTACCACGACCACGCCATGGCGGTCATTCCCTTCCTCGCAGCTTTACTCCGAGGCAGTCCGCACCTGCGCTGCATCCAGCCCATGGTCACGGTGCCTCAGGCGCCTGGCACCGACCTGCTGGGAGACAAGGACTTCCGGCAAGAAATAGCTCGGCTACAGGCTGAATTTCCATGTGTTTCGTTCCCCTCCACTTGGCGGCTGGGGTGACTCCGACATGACCCAGCTGACTTTTGGGTCGGCTCAACAGTCACCTCGGTTTGATGTCACACACTTTCCCTCCTCCAGGCAGTTGGCGTGACTCCACTTAGTAGCAGCATGTGTGCCCTTTGATTCGTATAAGCCATGGTTGTGAGCTGGACTGAACCTTGGATTGGATAAACTACGAAACCTTGGTGGTGTGGGCTCTATTAACGCATTTTGTGTAGTGTGTCAACAAATATATTTATATTGGGAACCCAACCAACTTGGGAACCCAATCTCCAATTAGGGTTATTACATCCTAATTGTAGTGGAGTGATTAACTCTACTCAAGACTAACAATCTGTGTAGACTAGTAAATATAGTAGGATATTCTAACACAACCCCTTAGTCTGCATAGAGAGAGAAGTCTTGAGGCCTTAAATGGAAGCAACCCCTGAATCAGGACGGCGTGTGGTGAGTTTGCCCGAGGGAGGTGCTGCTGAGGGCGGCGCGTGGTGCTGTCACCGGGGGAGGACGCGGGCGGCGTATGAAGCCGCCGTGGAGAAGTCGAGTAAGTGAAGATCGTACCGTAATCCCCCGTATAAAACACCCTATGGTGTTAATAAAAATGCAACGAAATTTTGGGTTGGGTGTAATTAAAGGCAAAAAAAATACAGCACCCAGGAGTTATGGAATGTGCATATGCAATGTTTGATTTGAATTCAACTGTACCTGTGACAGGACATTGTTCTGAGTATGGAGTCCCATTCCGCTATCTGATCGCGTACCCAACGATTTGGTCCATGTGCATGCCACATCGTCTACGTAAGCTGCTGATTCAGTATGCTGCCAGAGTAGCCAATCAGCTTGTGCTGCAGGCAGCCACCTTGATGCCTCCAGCCCACGCTGTGCCAGCACAGCATAGGGTGGCGAAATCAACGGCACATTTTGTCGATGCCTTCTCACGACCGGCCAGCGCACGGAATCACACATCGTGGATGGTCGTGAGAGGCATTTCATGGGCGACATGGACGAGGGATTCGCCCACGTCCCTGCCTTCCCCTCCAACCCACTCTTGAAGTGGGTCTACCCCGCTCCGTCCTCTCATTTTCAGTTTCGACTCCAGGATGCCTTCAAGACAGCCCCTGCAAGGGCTGTCTAAGGCATCCTCTAGCTCCGTCTCTGTAACGTCCCCCCGCCATGGCCTCAGGCTCTGCCTTGTCTCGCCTTCTGACTCGAAAGGGCCCTTATGGCCAGCAGACGTTTTTACTTCGTCGGTCCTCTGCCGACGGCGATGCCGCACCGACAGACTCTACAAGCGTCGATGCCGCTGCGACAGATTCTGCAAGCAGCGACGTCGCTGCAACAGATTCTGCAAGCGGCGATGCCGCTGCGACAGATTCTGCAAGCGGCGACGCCACTACGACGGAAGGGCGTCGTACCCTGCCGCGCGTCAGCGTGCCGAGTTTTCCAGAGCCCATTCGACGACCCCCTGGTCCTACCTTGAATCACGATGTCCATGCCCCCGCATCTCGAAGCAGGATGACAAAGCGGAAGCGCCGCTCGTACTCTGCCTCGGAGAAGTTGTACTGGCTTGCCATGTTCGATGCTCAACCCGACCTCTCTGTGCGTGGACTCGCAAAGCTAGCAGGTGTCCAGCCGGTGTCGATTCGGGAGTGGAAGAATGCTCGCGAACGCCTCCGTGTCGCCGCCGGCTGCCGCAAACGCCTCGTCGGTGCCGGACGCCCAGCGAAGTACCCGACGATGGAGGGCGCCCTCTACCGACAGTTCCTGAGGCACCGCGGGAGGGGGCTTGCCGTCTCCGTCAAGCTGCTGCAGAAATGGAGTCGCTCGTACATGCGCGTACATCATCCCGACGTCGACTGGAGAGCGTCGAGTCGCTGGACATTCAGATTCCGCGCGCGCTGGGGCCTTACGCGTCGGGTAAAGACGAAGATGGGGCAAAAGCTCGCCGACGGTAAACTGTCGTCCCATCCTTGTTATTCAATCCCTTGCCGCGACTTCCAATATTTGATTCTTTTGATTGTCTTGCTTCTCGCGTGTTCATGCCTGAATTTGTTCTCCGACTGTTTTGTTCTACGCAGACATGAGGACGAAGATCGAGAAATTCTGGGAGTTTGTCAAACAGATGCGGATTCTCAATCGGTACAACCTCGACCACATCGTGAACGCCGACCAAACCCCCCTCTTCATCGAAATGCCCCAGGAGAGGACGTTGGAGCACAGAGGCTCCCGTACGGTGCATGTGAGGACGGCCGGCTATGAAAAGGAGCGGCTCACCGTCATGTTGGCAGTCACCGCGTCGGGATTGAAGCTCCCGCCGTATGTCATCTTCAAGCGGAAGATGCTGCCAAAGATTCAGGTTCCCCCGGGTAAGAATCGCCTTTGCTTTTCGCTCTGTGCATAGTGTACACCGATGCATACCCTCTGACTGTTGTTGTGGCTTGTGATTGTATCCAGGTGTCATCATCCGAGCCCAGCCGAAGGGCTGGATGGACGAGAAGCTTGTCCAGGACTGGACTACTCAAGTCCTGAACCCGTTCTTGCGCCCGCTGCGCGAAGCGGGGAATAGGCGCAAGGAGGCGCTCGTCATCCTGGACTCGTACAAGGGCCACCTCACGCAAGCAGTCGGGCAGACGATGAAGCTGTGCAAACTTACCCGCGCGGTCATCCCAGGTGGTTGCACGCCTCTCGTTCAACCGCTGGACGTCGCAGTGAACAAGAGCTTCAAGGCCGGCGTGCGCGGCGACTACGGCGCGTGGTTTGAGCAGTTCGGCATCGACCTGAAGACTGCGGCAGGTGAGCCCCTTCCTAGTCGCTTCCTCAGTAGTTATTCGACTTCTTGCTTGTTGACGAATTCCACCGTGCCCGTTCCCAGTCGTTATCTTACCGTGCCCGTGTTCTTCTCCTCCCATTATGCCCCCATCCCATGTGAAGGAAATCTGAAGAAGCCCCCGGCTGAGCTCATCTTGAAATGGATTGCTCGGTCATGGGAGGCTGTGCCAGAGGAGCTCGTGCGTAGTTCATTCAAGACGTGCGGTATATCAAATGCGCTGGACGGCACCGAGGACAACCTCGCTCTCTGCCACCTCCGCGGCAAGCCCGACCTCGAGGTGATGGACGATGTCCACGTCGAGGAGGGCGAGAGCGGCTACATCAACCCCCTCTACGACGCCTTCATCGATGTGGACAGGGACGTCGCCGACGACGAAGAGGCGGATGCAGCGTCTCTGGCGGCTGACGACATCGACTGTGCTGAAGCGGCAACCGAAGCAGCTGAGATGAGCGCAGACAATACAGAGACTGCATCAGCAGCAGCAGCAAGTGATGATGTGTGGCCGGCAGAAGGCATTGCAGAGGAGGATGACGACAACTGCTGGTGGGATGAGCTTGCAGATGGGAGCGACGTCGAGATGTGGCAGGCTGGTGATGAGGAGCCTGAGGAGGACGACTAGAGCAGTGGCAGAGGCATGAGTATCTGGCGTAGTGTAAGGATTTAAAGTGTAGTGGATAATTTAGGTTCTAGGCAGAGCCAATACATAGGTAGGATTCAAGCTCCAGGTGGTGCCACTAACTAGTTCAGCTGTTAATTTCGCAGAGTAGTGACTAGGTGTACTCTAGTTGTATTGCTAACGTCTAATTCAAGAAGTTGTATACAGCAAACCGTAGAAAAAACGATTTTTCATCTCGGGGGAGGGTGGTGAAATGTTTTCAAGGCCAAGGGTAGGGTGGTAACTAAATCCGGTTAAATTAAACACCCATACCCGCTCAAGCTACCCGGGGGAGCTTAATTCCGGCGGGTGTTTTATACGGGGGATTACGGTAGTTTTGCTGCGAGACTATGTGAAGAATGACCCAAAGAGCAGTCATCTTTGGGGCCGGGAAGAAGGTCAGGAAGAAATCCACACCCTCACGCTGACTGAAGCCTCTAGCCACGTAATGCGCCTTGAACTTCGGCGGCTCTCCAGGTGCGCGCTTCACCCTGTAGATCCACATGCCAACGACTACGGTCGCCTCAGGCAGGGGAACTACGTTGACGTAAGTGCCTGTGGATCTGTAGGATGCCATCTCAGCCTCCATGGCCTGTATCCACTGGGCTGCCCAGGGCCCCGTTACCGCCTCAGCGTAAAAGCGCGGAACAGGGATGTCGAGAGCGTCTGAGTCGCCCTCTGGGAACACAAGCATGGAGCAGAGATGAGGAGCGGCAGCAAGTTAGGCCAACTCGTACTGCCTGTCCTCTAGCACGTCACTGCCAAGGGCAAGTGCACCACGGACGGAGGACAGGCAGTACCAGAGACCCAATGCAGCAGCGTAGTCAAGGCGGTGGCTAGCGACGAAGTCAGCGATAGCAGCGACAAGCGCACAGACAGTCTCAGGAGGAGCAATAGGGTTAGTGACAAGCGACGCAAGCAAGCACGAGAAGGTAGGACGAGCAGCGAGAGCAGCGTCGGAGCGAGGAGGGGGGAATGACGGGAGCGACGACAGGGGAAGCAACAGGAGGACTATGACTGGAGGAGCACGCAAACGAAGAACCATAGGGTGGAGACTAGGACGAGGAGAGACAGGACGAGCACCAGAGGGGCGACGGACCCAGTGGGGAAGAAGTGGGGACAGGGGATGAGGGGGAACAGGGGACAATTCCGGGGACGGAGGGGAGCGCGGGGGAAAACGAGCCGGAGAGGAGTCCGGAGGAGGGAACAACAGACCGTAAACAGGGTCACCCACCGCAGGGGGAACGGGCCGGCGGACAGGGGAACCTGGAGCTAGACCAAGGAGACAAGGGCAGACTGCGGCTGCTCCTGTTGCAGCGACTGCGCCTGCTGCTGCGGCTGCTGCTGCTCCATGTCCTCTCCAAAACCTCCAGCGGCACCGCGGTTGCCACCGGCACTCCCCGAAATAGCACCCCCAAGACTAGCACCCTCGGAAGCACCACCCAGAGAACCAGCACCCCCAGAGTCGGCACCCCGATAACTCGCACCCCTAGAACCAACACCCTCAACGCCAACACCTCCAATACCAGCACCCCCAGAACCAGCACCTCTAGAACCCACTGCACCCTACTGCGGCCGCTAAGGCTGTTGTGGCGGCTGCTGCTGAGTTAAGGGGGGAGGCGGCTGAGGTGACTGGGGTACCGAGGCTGGGGGAGGAGCCACAGGGAGAGTAGGCGCGCCCCTAGCAGCAGGGCCCCCAGAGTCAGCCGACTCCCCCACAGGCGCAACTCAGGGGAACTGAGTGGCGTAGGAGACACCTGACTCGGCCGG